GTCTTTGGGTTGTGTCTCTCTCCTTCCATGCTCCCTTTGTCCCCACGGCCAGCGGTGCTCCCAGACAGGGAGAACCGTGGACTCATTAGCAGCACATTTGTAACTTCTCACTCACCTTTAGGTAGTTCAGTTCCAACCCAGAAAATCAAGGAAAGAAGGGAAGAAAAGGACTAGTGCCTAAGTCAATATAGCTGGTGCCATTTCTTAAAGGTAAAATTGGAACTGTTAAGAAAAACTGTTGAGATGGAGGAGGGAAGGGACATGGAGATTGAGAGAAGGATTGGCGGAGAGCAGCTGTGGGAGAGTTTATAACCACGGGAGACAAGATGCAGACAGACTTGGCCTTGAACCTGACCTGGGTCATCTCAGCAAGAACTTAACCTCTCTGAGCTGTTGCCTCACCAGAAAAACAAGATGACACCTACCTCAGAGAATTAGATGAGATTATTATCAGGCCGCTCTTAGCAGTGTCTAGCCCAGAGCATGCACCCCCTAAATGACAGCTACACCCATGCCTCAAAGAGAAGAGCCCCCCTGGGGGGAGTGTGACTGGAGGGTGATTCCTCTACTCATCCAGTGGGGTCCTGGCAGCCCCAGGCCTGGGCTTAGCTCTGGGACTCCCTGGGGAAGTGGTGGGAGCCTGGCACGTCACTGCCTGGTGCTGGGTCTCCCTATTGAAAGGGGTTGATAGCAGAGTTCCTTACACCCCTGTCTCCGCATCTGCACACTGAAGCCCAGAGTCAACGACGACAGTGGATCACACCCGGAGTGGGTGGCTGGGTTCGGGGCTGGGAGAGGAGTGTTCATGGTACACTTTATCATAGTTTTTGAATTTTGAAATATATGAATATGTTACCTATTCGAAACATAGATAACATTTTTAAAATGCAAAGACCAAATCAATATGCAGCCCGAGGCCATGTGAACCAGGAGGAGGATGGCTGCAGACAGTGGTGCTGGGGATACTCCTGGGAAGAAGAAGGGGTGAAGTGAGAGGAGGGGGCACAGGGGCATCAGCTCACTGGGGTCCCTGGAAAAGAGCGTGAGCGGTGAGAGACGGGTGTGCAGCTCCGCATGACAGGCATTCTCTGGGCATCACAGGCTGACTGGACTTGGGAGAAAACGACTTAAAGTGGTCTGGTGTCAAGTTCGGGCTTGCTCCAGTTGGAACGTGAATTGTCAATGGAATGGAACTAAGAAAGGAGGTTGAACTATTCACTCAGAGTGTCTGTACTATATAGGAATTTATAGCTCGGAATCCTTGGGGTGGGATGTGGCTGTGTGTGGCTGCATCTTATTTATTCCTCACAAGTCTTGGGGGTATGCGTGTAGGTATTATTATCCCCATTGTAGAGATAAGGAAATTGAGGCTCAGAGAGGTTAAGTGACTTTTCCAAAGTAACACTGAAGGTATTTGAGAGCCCTAGGATTTGCATCCCAGTTTGACGTCAAAGCCCATGCCCTTTTCACTCTGATGCGCTAGTCTCCACCCTCCTCCTGGTCTGGGCAAATCCTGGTTAGACCTTCATGGAGGGTGCAAGAGGTTCGCTGAAGAGATGAGGAGTTAGGCTGGCATGAGGGAAGTGAAGCTGGGGAGACAGGGATGGGACTGGGGTGCTAGTGCTGGCTGTCCAGTCTCCCTGCGCTGCCCACCCTTCCCCCCCAACCACCACCAGGAGCCAGGCCTCGGAGCATCTGGTGGTGTTGAAGACCAGAGACTGTGTGGGGCAGAGGGCAGGTAAGCAGAGGGAAGGCAGTAGAGACAGGCAGGTAAGCACTTATCCAAGTCCTATCATTGCTTACAAAGCACTTGCTGAAGACCCACTTCCGGAACCTGCCTCAGGTATCTGGTTAGTTCTTTCCTTCCTTAACCCTCAGGCAGCATGAGTCAGCAGGGACTGCGATCTGAGTGCCAGGGGCGTGGTCTGCCGAAGGTGGGGCCTCAGTGGGGGCTCAGAGTGTTTATTTGGAGCAGATTCCATTTGGGGAGATGGAATGGCATCCACAAGTCTGATACTGTCACCTTGGGCGGGGTGGGGCCCCTGAGCTCACTGCCCAGATGTCCCTATCTGCCTCACAGGCTGAGAATGCTCATTTGGGTTCAACCCGGGGGTAATTCCCCCACTGGCCCTGCACTCCATGCCAGGGGGAGCTTCAGGTTTGCCCACGAGGGCTTGGGTCACTCTTGTGGGTGGGGAAGCCCTGGGACATGTGTCTCGCTCTATTGGTGCTGTGTGTGCAGGAGGTGAGATCCAGCTCAGAACAGGAAAAGAGAAGGGAGCTATTCACTGAAAGGTCTCAGTACACACTTTTCGGGTGAGCATCACACAGAAAAGAAAGAAGGGAGAGAACTTGCAAGAGAAGATAAGAGTACAAAGCGGGTAGATGAAAAGCAGAAAGGCCTTTGAAAGTGCCGCCTGGAACAGGCTGGAGGGAGGCCCGGGGCCGCCCTTGGGTAAGGCTGGGGGAGACCACAGCTCCCCCCATGCTGTGCAGGGGGCACAGCTGCCGGAGCCAGCCCTTGGGCACTGTGCAGCCTGGGAAGCATGAGGGAACTGAAGTACCTACTCCGGAAATGGCCCCACGGCTGGGATTGCTTCCGAAGGACTTGGTGGGTCATGGGAGTGCCTTATGCAAGTATCTCCTTTTCATTAAGTTTGAGATGAAAGGTTTAGAATAATGGCAGAGGAAGGTAAGCCATAGAGCGTGAGCAGAAATTAATGAGGACTGTGTCTTGGGTTTTCTTAACACTGCAAACCAGGGGTTCTTAACCAGGGGTGATGGATGAGCTGCAGGGTCCCCGATCGCTCCGTGATCATGTGCAAACTGACTTGATAGTTTTCCAGGAATCTCGAATCCCCCCGAGGTTAATGAGTTGTATTCTCCCTCACATGTGCTGGGCATACATTAGTTACTTGGTGTGTGGTTTTTATACAGAGGGTTTCTTTTCTGGAACTGACACAGTCACATCGCGGCCCTGTGTTTTCATCCTCCTCTCGGCCCACCATGCCTGGAATGGAGAACTCAGCTGACCTGCTTCGCAGCCCAGGCCCCTTGGGCCGAGGCACAGCTGGCCAGACTCTGAGAAGCACAGACTGAAAAAGAGCCTTGTTTTTTTTATTTTTGTTTTTTTTTTTTAAACTGTGCTTTATTTAGGGCTAAGCTGGAGAAAGCGTCATCCAATAGTTACAGAAGGTTACAAGGAGTTTTAGGGAGTTGAGTGTGAAAAGAGCAGTTGTACTGAACTGCAGCGGTTTTGTTTTGTTTTGTTTACAACATCTGGACATCCTAAAAGGAGGAGCCAAGAGAAAGAAAAAGAAAAGTTTAAAAATAATAAATAACCAACAAAATAGAAAGAAAGGAAAGGCAGGAGGTCCGTGAGGAACCAGCTAAAACAAAACAGGAAAAACATGGTAGGTCCACACGCCCCCTGGCCTCACGCTGACCTGACGTCAGTGAGGAGGGTAACAGGGCATATACCAAAGCAAGTCTTCCCAATGGCGCAAATAAATTATAATAAATATGTTATACTTTAAAATATACGCGTTCTTAAATAAATCAGCGCTTTTCTGATTCTGAGTTTTTTTAAGCAATGTCTTTTTTAACTGCTCTAAAGTCATTTACCAAAGATAAATATCGTGCTTTCATTAAATAGTTTTCCTTGTTTTTTTCTCTATCATTACAATTAAAAGTCCTACAAAATATGCAAATTTATTTACAGAAAAACAGAGCCGGCATCATTTAAACATCCCTGTTTTTCAAAATTCCTTGTAAACAGTTTCAGAAATTCTTCAAAGATTGTTTTTTTCTCTCTCTTGTTTAAGGTTTTGTGTGTGTGTGTGTGTGTGTGTGTGTGTGTTGTTTAGTTGTTTTAAGATGAAAGTTCCCAGGTCCCCTTGCCCGGAAAGTCTCTGGAGCAAGCATGGAAGGCGAGTGAAGCGAAGGTCCAGGGCTTTCGGAGAGCGGCGAGCGCACAGCTCCGGCGAAGCGAGGTGAGGGCAGCTGGGCCTTCCTGCCCTGGTGCGGCCTCCAGGCGGTGGGCAGCCAGGAGCCCGTAGGTCTGGGCCATCGGCCTGGCCCTCGGGGTCAATGGTGTCGTCATCGGACAGCACTCACTCGCGGGGAGAAGGGATTGATGCTCAGTCTAAACTCTACAAAAGTACAGTCCTACAACATCTGGGATTTTAGCAGTAATGCTAACTTCTATAAGTTTTTTTTTCCTTTTTTATTATTTTTTTATTTTTTGCTTTCCTCTAATTTTTCTTCTATTATATAGGTATTTTAAACTTCTCCTTTTTAAAATTCTGTACAACTATTATGTTTGTAAGAGGGGGAAGAGTTAGAAGCATTTACAGACTTTTCACAACAATTCTCTTGCCTTGTGAGTCCCTTTTTTCCCCTCGTTTTCTCACACTTTACAGTTAAGGAGCTTTAATATTTTTGTTGCTTTCCCCAAATATCCACCAATTTGTTCCTCTTAACAGCTCCATCCAGACATATAATACAGAAAACCATAGGAAAGTGTCTAAGACTTGAATGAGGGTAATCAAAGCGCCTCTCGAAGTATCAAAGAACTATTATCTTGCTGTTTTAAAAGCATTTAAGCATTATTTTTCCTTTTTTTGTGTTTTTGTGTTTTTTGTGTTTTTTTTTTTTACTTTTTTCTTACATTTTTCATAGAATCGCTCTAAGCTGTTTCGAGAACAGCCAGGAGGCAGGAAGGAGGTGCTCCTCCGTTCCCCCTGTGTTTGACATAGAGCTACACGTCTGCAATAAAAAGTTTGGTCCTTTGGTCCACCCCTCCCCCCAGCCTGCCGCAGGCGCCCACGGGCTGGAAAGCCCCGGGGATCGGTAAGCAGCGCAGCGTCTCTTTCCAGTTCCCAGCCCTTCAGCCTCCCCATCTGGTCTCAAGTTATTTTGTTTTAAAAGTTGCCTTTTTTGTATGTTTTTTTTTCTCAATTTTTCTTCATCTTCTTCTTCTTTATGTCATAATGTATTTTCCCCAAACACGTGCCCTCTGAACTCCATAGACGCTATACTTCCCTTGAAGAAATGTTACAGTCACAGAGTGTCTGGAGTCCTCAGCTTGCTTGGTATTGGCTGATATGTCAAAGGTGTCATCCAACAGTTCTCATTTATAAATAGAGAGAGAGAGAGGTTTGTTTTTTAATGTAGCCCGTTCAGCATCCTGCCCTAAAATGAAGAAAATCAGGGCTGATTAAGCAAAGAGAGGAAACACAAAATGCATCCAAACACCAAAAGGAGCCTGCCTGGGGCGGG